ACTCTGAGAACAAGGGCAAAACGGCCAGTTGCCAACTCTCCAAGGGAGCCCCAAAGGTTGCCAGGAAGCCCCGAGGTGGGTTCCTAGCGACATCAGAGGGAGGTTAGGAGGCTGTCCCGCCTAACCAGAGCCCAAGACAGGGACAGTGGTGGCAGCAATACCTGGAGGCAGTGGTGAAAAACTGCCCCTTCAGGTGCCAGGTCAGGCAAAGGAGGGGTGGGCAGAGCTGGGTCCGCCAGCTGATGCTGGCCCGTTCCGCCACAGCAACATTGGGATTTAGTTAATTATTTATTTGATTTGTACCCTCCCCTCCCCACCAAGGCAGGCTCAGGGTGGCTTTGAAACAAAGCACTGAACCATATTTTCAGGTATCCATTGGAAGTACTCTATTATTCAACAATCCATGGCTGCACTCCACTTACTCAGTTAAACTTGAAAATTTACTTTTCTGTTTGCAAGTTTTGCTACATGAGTGCTTGGTTTCCTATTCAAAACACCTGGAGATGCAAAGGAGAAGCAAGCAGTACTCAAAAAGCTTGCATTTGACTAAAATGCTAAGCCTGGAGTCTCACAATCAAGTCTGACCTGATTATTAAACATGGCACTCTTTACAGAAGATAAATGCTTCAGAGAAAGCTCCTACTGGGTTTTTAAGCTGTCTTCCGGGGGGGGGGGGGGTAGCATGGTACAGCCCAATCTCGTCAGATCTTGAAAGCTAAGTAGGGTCAGCCCTGTATTTGGATGGGAGACCTCCAAGGATGGCCCACAGGGGAAGGCAATGGCAAACTACTTCTGCTTCTAATTTGCCCCAGCTCCTTACTGGGGTTGCCATAAGTCAGCTGCAACTTGATGGGACTTTACACATACAAAGCTGTCTTTACACCAACAGCTCACTTGCTTCTTCACTGTCTGGTATCTAAAGACAAGATACCTGCAATGTGTGCTGACTTTACCTTAGGGAGAAAGGATGGACCAGCGTGCCTGCTGTGATTATACCCTTGGTCCAAGGATACCAGTACATGTTCACACAAGCTGCTTGACCTGGAATGCAGGCCAGAGAAGCAGGCAACCACACACCCCACCCTCCCACTGCATCACCATTTCCCCAACCAGTTAAGTGGGTGATATCTTGATATATATCTTACAACTGTTTTGTTACCTGGAGCCAGATGAAGTCATCAGCATTTGCATTAGGAAGTCACCCTGTACTTTATTTTTTTTTTAAAAAAAAACTCCCTTACTATTATCACCAGCCATTGCTCTGTGTAATACCATGTCTTGATGAAAAACATTATTATAATGTATGCAGCCCCATCAACGTGAACACAGTGATTTACAGTAAAATCCTATGCAAAGTTACCCCAGTCTAAGCCTGTCAAGGAGTCCAAGGCTGGATGCCAGGGGTTCCCAAGGCTAATTTACATAAGCAACCAAACCTTTTAAAAATTTATATACAGTTTTATTGAATAGATCCCAAGACAAATGTTTAATTATTAAGCAAAACACTCTAAAATCAAGCGGGAAGAAAAACTAGCGTAACTAACACTTTTGAAAGAGCTGTATTAGATGGCACAAACCTTAAACTCAAGAAGCAAAGGCCATAGATTCTGCATTCTCTACACGGCTGTTCATTGCAATATAAGCATATCATAGTTCAGGCCTTTAGTCCATCAGAATCCAAGCTAGTAGTAGTAGTTTTCTCCAGGTTCTTAGCTCAATTATAACTTTTTGGCCAAGCAGCATCAGGTGACAATGATACCCACTCAGGATGAGTTCCTGCTGGAACTTTCTAGAAAATTACCTAATCTCTCCTGATTTCTCCCACACACACACTGCAGGTTCTCATGAAAAGCTAATTGCCATGCTTCCAACTCTAACCCTGAAGATAAAAGCTATGTAGGCAGAGAGACCCAATTAGCAACACCTGCAGGATGGAATGAGCCCCTTACTGTTCACGTTAACCCTTGAGAGAAACCAGGGATGCTTTGCCTTGCAAAGCCCATTGGTTTCAGTGAGTTTAGACTGGAATAATTCTGCATAGGATTGCATTGTTTTAATCTGATAAGAACAATAAGGGTTACCTGACCACAGGGAGCTTAACAGTCTAAATTTAATAATGGGGAAAACAAGAGGGAGAGGGTGAGAGACAGTTGTAAGAAATGTACAAGAGATTACAGTTATATGTGCTTAAACTTTCTTACAGCCGTAGATAAGGATTAACCTATTTGAAAAGGTGGGGTCTGAAGAGGGCACCAAGTACCTAGCCAGGGAGGGAGCACTAAGCAGAGATTATGGTGAGGCTAAGGGAGGTAGAGACAGACAAGAGGTCATGAGTATATGATGGAAAATGGCAGATAAACCATTCTGGTAATTGGTATTGCCCTATCTGTGTTGTTTCTTTAATTAGCTGGTAGCAACAAAGCAACAACTTTCTGTTAGAATTTTAGGCAAAAACCCTACATTCTTTTAACAACACAAAATCTAATTCTGTGACTAAAATGGAAAGATTTGGAGTGAAAAAATGTATGTGTATCAAGAGTGGAACTAGTGTAGGTCTATAAGGACAGAGAGATGTAGTGGATAAAGGGGTGGGGGGATGTTACAGCTTTGCTAATAGAACAAGTCCTATTCTAGCTATCTCACTGCTGACAAATTGGTCACAGGAATAGCAAAATGGGTCAACCACATAATAAGCCTGAATGCACATAATACATCAGCCTTGTAAGCTGTCGGGATGGGGGCCTTCTTGAAAAGCTGATTTGGGCTCCTTGGAGGAAAAACAGGGCAAGACTGTATTAAATAATAGAATTTATTAGAACATACACCTTACTTAAAGATGGGTTCTGTTCTATGCTATTTAAAAACAATCATATATAATATAGATTATGTTATTTTAAAAAGGACTTTTTAGAGCCTCGTCCTATGCATCCATATAAGCAAATCCAGCCTATTTCAATAGGACTTGCTTATAAGTGTACCTACAACTTCTACACGTTTGCTCAGGAGTCATACTGTATTCCACAAGGCTTATTCCCAGATATAGTGTACAGAGGATTGCAGCTTCACCGTGTAACTCTAATTAAATAAGGCCTAATTTTTTTAAAGTCTTTCTACATTCCTTGATGTTTACTTCCAAGTCAGTGTGTCATGGATTGAAGCCCAGTCCTCTTGCATAGAAAGTAGCTTTATGCAGGGGTCATTTCATAGAAAAAGAGCTGCAGGAGCTCATTAGCATAACTTATTAGCATATGCCACACACCCTGACGTCACCGGAAGTGTGCACCAGCCCCTCTGACAGGCAGAAGCACCTGGGATCCATTCTTTCCCCCCTCTCCCTTCCCTTCGCTTCTAGTCATATATAATATAGATTATGTTATTTTAAAAAGGACTTTTTAGAGCCTCGTCCTATGCATCCATATAAGCAAGTCCAGCCTATTTCAATGGGACTTACTTATAAGTGTACCTACAACTCCTACACGTTTGCTCAGGAGTCATACTGTATTCCACAAGGCTTATTCCCAGATATAGTGTACAGAGGATTGCAGCCTCACAGTGCAACTCTAATTAAATAAGGCCTAATTTTTTAAAGTCTTTCTACATTCCTTGGTGTTTACTTCAAAGTCAGTGTGTCATGGATTGAAACCCAGTCCTGGTTAAAAAAAAACCGCCAGGATCACTGGGGGCCAAACTGGCCTGGAGAAAAATTGCTTCCTGGCCCCAAAGTGGCGATCAGCATTTCCCTGGGCATGTAAGAAAGGGCCACAAGAACTAAGCACTGATGCAACCCTTCCTGCTCTACCTCTTGTGATTTGCCTAAGTTCACACAATCAGCATTATGATCCTTTTAAAGTTGAAAGCATGATATAAATGCAAAGGACTATTTGTAACATTATCTGTAAGACACAAGACCAGGACGCATCTCACTTCTGGCAATCACTTGGAGAGACCCTATCACTCAGCTTCCATAGCCCCACACACCCCCCACACTGGAATAAGAACATAATATCAGGCCATACCACATTGCAATAAAGCCCCTACAACTGTATACAGAAATACTGAGCTTCCCTACCATTTGCCACAACTAGCCCACCACACAACCAGGATCAAGACTCCTAAGTGGACCAACAGACAGGCATACACTCGTTTGAGAAACTGAGTATTACATTACAACACCTCTGGAACATTACAGATCAGTAGAGGCAGCACTGCACAGTGGTCAGAGTTGCAGATTGATGTGGGGAGACCCAGGTTTGTATTCTCACTCTGCTGGCTGAGTGACCCCGGGCCAAATCTCCCCTTCTCTACCTAACCTACCCCACAGGGTTGTTGTGAGGATGAAATGGAGACTCATGGGCAGGGTCCCCAGCTTCCCTGGCAGGAACACTATGTTAAGAAATCTCTCACAATTATGCAGCCATAGCAGGCAGGAGGGAAGGAGGCGAATACCTCCAGCGCCAGAGACTTGTAGAAGAAGAGTCAAACTTTGGGGACTCACCCGTGCACCAGAGGGCCAAGGCAGCAGGAGGAAAGAAGCC